CGTTCTATAAACATGACCATGTCGATATCTGTAAGCAACTCGAACGTGATCTTTGTATGCTTTAACATGGTGTCCCACGTATATCCGGGGAGAGTATAGTAATACGCGGGGTCGAGTCCGTAACTTTTGATGCAGCTATCGCGAAAATTTTCGAAAATATCTGCTAATAACAATACGTCGATTTTGAGATACATGTCGCTATATTCGCCCAGCGTTCGAATGGAGAATCGCGTCCAGATGTTCTCGGCGTGCGCGTAATTGCTTTCGGATATAGTTTCACCGGTCAAGGAACTGTAAAACGATTCGCGCGGTGGTAAACGCGTATCTCGTAACCTATCTACCGAGTCGACGTATTCGTATGGAAAGACGCCTTTCCGTGTTAATAAACTGAAATTTTCCGCGGATAAATTTTCAAATTTCAATTTTAAAATTTTGAGCTTATCTCTGTCTAGATAAGATGCTAATTTGTCGAGACTCGACGTAAGAAATTTGTACGAATCGATGAAGCGTAATTTTACATTATTTTTCCAATCGCCTTCCTTAAGGTCGACATTTTTTGTAAAAGAAATATATTTCTCTTTCGTTATCGGAAGTAACTCGACGCTGCCTTCGAATGCTGTGGTTATTTCCTCGATAATAAAGTGTGTATCATAACCGGATAAATTGTGGAAAACTATCGGAATACAAAAAGATTCTTTGTAATTTAAATTGCAATTTGAATGCGCGGGACCTCTGTACCGCCCGGTCAAATGACAATGATCGCGAACGCGTGTATCGTCTTGCGCGAACGGCTTTTCGCATATATGGCATTGAGTGGCGTTGTGAAATTTTTCACACTCTTCGGACGTTAAATTAACCATGGGGACATTGGTCGTTAAAATATTCTTAACGCGAATCGCTAAATTTTTAAGATCTTCGACGAACCACGCTATACAATCGACGCTACGACGCGAATGATACGCCGATAAAGATTCATCGTACGAACAATGCATATAATACGCTATACTAAATACCCGATGGTGTTGGTACAATTTTTGTTGTTGTTGTTCTTCCTCCATTTTGGTCAGGCATTCCAGATCGGCGTACACGACGAATGGAAACCGTTCTTTCCTGTTGTAATTGTTGAACTCGAGCCACTTGCCTTTGTCGCTCGGCAACCGGATAGCGCAGTCATTCATCTCCCCGCAGTCGACCGTATGCGACTGCAACTTTTCATCTGAACTAAAATAATGCAGGCATCTGTAAAAGAAAAATTTTTTAATTAAAATTAGAACAATTTGTTATATAAATTATAATTATTTTATATTAATATATACATACCGATCGCAGATATATCTTTGACCGTTGTGTTTGCTCAGTTGCGAGCTCACGAGCCTGGATAAATTTTTTATCCACGCGAAATGTCCGACTGTTGCCGTCTTCCACGTATAGCAGATTCACGTGCTTATCTCGCTTCTGCTCCGAAAGACGTATCGGGACGATACTGTTCTTGTCTTCGATGCCGTACACGTTGATCGAGATATTGTTCGCGAGTTCAAATTTTTTAATTTGATTTAAAGTTACTGGAAACTCAATGTCCCGAAGATTCAGCACTGTCGCGTAAGGTGGATACGATGATTCTCGTTCCGCGTTCCTTTCTGTGGGATATAGAGCGGCGACCACTGCCCACGCGAAACACGCATTGTCCTTAGACTGTACGTTAACCACCGCTCTTTTCATCATAATCTCCCGCGACAATTTAATGTGGCATCCCGCGCGCATTGGATTATATTTATTTACATTAACAGTCAAATTCTGTATTCGCGACAATGCCCAGCCGCTATCGCGTTCCTGAAACTCTTCCAAAGACGCTAAAGTGGGCTCGATAACGCGGCGCTCGAACCACTCGCGTAAATCCGATGTGCGAAAGAGTTCACAGTTTCTCGTATTTATACTTTTATTCGCGCGCTTATCACCCGACACAAATTCACCGTTGAATATAGTATTTACTTTTACACTGTTTTGTCTTTTTAAAACGTTTTGCACTTGCTCGAGCACGATGTCTTCGGCATCCTCGAGAAATTGACGAGGTTCGATATATTTTGCGTTAATCACGGCACCGGTCAGAATACGGCTGTCGAACGCCGTATCGATCTCCCGCCAAACGAGTCTTTCCGCGTTATTGTCACCGCTGTAATCACCACCACTGGGAATAAACCGTCTTTGCAATCGAGTCTTCGCACTTTCTAGTCGCGCGATTTTCTATCTTATAGTCACCAGAGATTGTCTATTTCCGCTCGAGAGCCGCGGACGCTTGACACGACTGCGTTCTTCGAGCTCTTTGATCAATTCCTCGCAACGCTGCAACCACGCGAAATACTCGCCCAAGGTGGCAATTCGGCGAGATCCCTCCACCAGATCGCGTTCGGTCGGCTCGATGTTTTCCATTTTCTTATCTTTTTCGCACTCACACTTTTAAAACACTATGTCACAGTTTTCTACGGATGACTTTTGCACGCGATAAACAATACCGTTCGCTATCTTGAACATGAAATAGGCGCAAAAATCTTTCTAACGGGACACCGCTATACTTTTTTTTTACTGCCGACGCGTCGATGGGCGTTCAAATCACATACTATGATGATTTGATGCGCTTCAATCATTCTTATATATGAAGGAGAAAACAAAGCAGCCAAACATCGGCGCTGATACGTTAAAAATTCTTCCGATAAAAAAATCGTAAAAGATGATTCTAGGAAGTGCCGTTTGTTTATATTGTTTATAAATTTATGTGCTGTGTAATTCAATGAGAGAGATAAGGATACGTCGAACGAAAAAATCTAGAATTACTTATATCGGGGGTGAGGGGTGTATCGCGAAAGCGCTGATATACGAGCGGTGGAAACAAGGGTACAAAGCAGCCAAACATCGGCGCTGATACGTTAAAAATTCTTCCGAGAAAAAATCGTGAAAGACGATTCTGAGGTACTATTTGTTTATATTATTTATCAACCGGGCATGCGACACAATATTGTTTATACTTTCGATAAATATATGGGACTGCGCGTACTTTTTACGAGGCGTTTACGACGATATGGCGATAATGTCACATCTCTATTATACGATCTCGTTTCGAGATCTCGCTGCCAGGTCAGAAAGAGTTTGGCAGTGTGCGAGTCGAGAAATCGAAAGTGAAAAAATCGAAAGTGAAGAAGTGAATATTTTATTTCATCGTTCTTGTGTATTTTATAAAATGGCCGAAGAAAATATCATTATCATTAATGATGACGATGATGATGTTATGATCATCGATGATGACGATGTGATGATTATCGAAAATAATAATGTGAGGATCATTGAAAATGATAATGTAATGAATATTGATGAAGATGACGAAGATGACGAAGATGACGCCGATATCGAAGTAGAACCCTTTGCGAACAGCGATTACGAGAGAAGATTTCGTCAATAATGATGAACAGTGATGAACTATTACAAATAAAAGAACGAAATTTAGACTTACCGAGAATATTGACGATGAACGATACAATAAAAATATGTTGCATATCGTTCTATTATGTGGAATGTGGACTGAAATATTGTGCGGAATGCTTCCTGGAACTATCGTTTTTATTCCTAGAAGCTAGTGCTGTACGGGAACATCGCTGCATATATTATCAACATTTAAGCAATATGTCTTGCAAAGAGTGCAGAAGATCTTTGAATCAAATACTGCCGTGCGACATGTGCCCCATGTGCACACATTAAAACATTGTAAGTACTATTTTTTAAATCTTAACTCTCTCTAACTACGCTTGTATTAATTTGTTCGCGAATGACTTAGCCGTGGAGACAGGCGCGACGATAAATGACGACAATGAAGACACCACAACTTTTTGCAATAAAGATGAGCCACGACACGTATATTTTTTGTTCTTTTTATAGAGTTTTTATTTTTAACACCACACAATTAAAGAAATAAAATTTACACAAAAAATATATTTGATTACAGATACTGAAGTGAAGCGAGAATAACGAAAAGTCCGAGTGAGTAAGCGGTCGTGTACAATAAGCGGTTTTTTAGCGAAGCGGTTGAACTGAGAAAGCGGTTGTGCGAAAAGTGCGAGACTTCGGTGTGCCCTCGCGTTGGGCCCATTATATACCGGGCGGATTTTTGGGTCTCGTTGCGACGTGGCCCAATGAACTTTAAAATTTGGCGGTGACCTCATGGCGCCGCACCTAATTGGCCGCCGATGAGGTCAGGAAATAGGCGGTTAACATTTGTCATGCGTACAACTTTTTCCGATCAGCTGATTGGCGATCAGCTGATCGTGACGTACGGGCGCGCATGCCCGTTCGTTGCGCGGATTTCGGCGACAGTTGACAATGTTATTGTCAACTGTTGTCACTGAGCGTTTTTGTGCGACCAAAAAAAGAGAGAGATGACTTGAACGGTTGGCTTTTAGTCAACAATCGATTTTTCGAGAAGTTTCTCGCCGCCCGTTATTTTCGAATTTTCGGGCTTATAATAGAAAATGCGGATTTCATTGGTACGCGAATTTTTCCGCATATGCATTTCGAACATCCCGCCCGCCTCGTCAGTACGTGACGAAATTTATTGGTGTGCGCGGTTACGGGCAGGTGTCGCGTACTGTTCTAGTGGCGAGCCATGGATCGCGATCAATCAATGGAATGTGTGACGTCATGCGGGAGCACGTGTTGTGCAGTTCGAGCGAATCCGTTGAGAAAATGAGTAGTGCGGTGATGAAGTGAGAATATGCAGTGAATGTGATGAACTGAGTGTAAGGTGTTTGCGTGCATGATCTCGCGAATGTAGTGACGCTCGAGTGACAGTGAATGATGAACAACTTAAATGATGTGAAGTGATGAGCGACGGTGAAAAAAGAGGAAGGAATGATAGTGCGGTCACATGTGATTAAGCGGTGGTCACGCGCGGTATGATTATCGGCGTTCTCGCGGTACAGGTAAGTAATAATGATAAAAAAAATGATTTTTCTCGCTCACGAGACCGGAGTTGTTGGTGCTGCGGTGTCGGCCCCCGGCAGGAGGACGATTTTCGCGAGTGGCCGAGTAAACTTCGACGTCGCCGTGCGGAGGGTGACCACGCGGGTGATTCCATCGTCTCCGGGGTGCAGTGCCGTGATGCGGGCGAGCGGCCATCTGGTCGGGGGTGTGATCTCGGACCGGAGCAGGCACAGGTCGCCGATGCTGGGGCCGGTCTCATCCCTGGTCCATTTCGGTCTTGCGGCCAGGGTGCCCAGGTATTCGCGCGACCACCGTTCCCAGAAGTGGTCGCGCATCTTCTGGAGAAGTCGCCACCGGGAGAGTGCAGTGTCCTTCTCGGCGGTGAGGGGCGGTTCTGGGACGGCCAGAAGGGGCGCTCCGATCAGGAAGTGCCCGGGTGTGAGTGCCGTCACGTCGTCGGGGTCGTCCGTCAGCGGCTGTAACGGGCGTGAATTCAGGCACGCCTCCACCTGAGCGAGGAGCGTCGCCATCTCCTCGTAGGTGAGGGTGGCCTCGCCGATGACCCTGCGGAGATGGTGCTTCGTGGATTTTACGGCTGCCTCCCAGAGTCCGCCGAAGTGTGGAGCTGCCGGGGGGTTGAATCTCCATCTCACGCCGTCGGAGGTTGTAGCGAGAGCTATCCGACGGCCGTCGGAGGAGGAAGCGCGGAACAGTTCTCGTAGCTCTCGATCCGCCCCGACGAAGTTCGTGCCGCAGTCGGAGAAAATTTCATGGCAGAGGCCTCGCCGGGAGACGAAGCGGCGGAAGGCGGCCAGGAATGCCTCTGCCGAGTAGTCAGTGACGGCCTCGAGGTGAACGGCCTTGGTACTGAGGCAGACAAAGACTGAGATGAAGCCCTTGCTCGCCTTGTGGCCTCGCCCCTTGCTGGTCCGGATGAAGATCGGGCCGGCGTAGTCGACTCCGGTGCGCAGGAACGGGCGTGCAGGAGTCACTCGCTCTCGGGGGAGATTGCCCATCATCGGTTGTGGAGCGGCGGCTTTCCATCGCGTGCAGGTGACGCATCGGTGGATGACCCGTTTAACGACCGCTCGACCACGCAGGATCCAGACCCGTTGGCGCAGCAACCCGAGGGTGAGCTGCACTCCTCCGTGCAGGGTTCGCCGGTGACAGGAATCGACCATCAGGTGAGTCAGCCTGGATTCCGGCGGAATTATAATGGGATGCCGCTCGTCGTGAGACAGCATGGCGTGTTTCAGTCGTCCTCCGACACGCATCACTCCGCTGTCATCGATGAACGGATTCAGACTCGTGAGCGGACTCCGCGGTGGCAAGGCACGTTCTTTGCGTAGTGCGTTGAATTCGTCGTGGAAGTGCAGTGCCTGAGTGGTGTGAATCCAGCGAGTGAGTGCGGTTTCGATTTCGCAAGCTTCGAGTGATCGTGCGGTGTCAGTGGTGCCGCGAGGTCTCCGGGTGTCGTTTCGTCGCCATCGAAGACACCAGGCAGTCACTCTGAGGAGCCGGTGCAGCGATGAGAACCGGAGAAGGAAGGCCGACTCAGAAACGTCCTTGACGGCAGCCGCCAGTGAGGCGACGGCTCTACGCTCCGGCAAGTCAGCGTCCAGCAGGGCGCCGTCGTCACTTGGCCACCTCGCCTCGTCCTCTAGGAGCCAGGATGGTCCGGTCCACCAGAGAAGATGATCGGCCAGGTCGTCAGGCAGGATGCCTCGGGAGGCGCAGTCAGCCGGGTTATCCCTTCCCGGCACGTGTCGCCATCGCGCTTCGGGCAGTTGCTCTTGGATCAGAGACACCCTGTTGGCCACGTAGGTCTTCCAGCGGGAGGCGTGACCGTGAATCCAATGAAGTGTTACCTTGGAATCTGACCAGAGGAAGACGGGGGCTGCGGACAGACTCAATAAAGTGCGCGTGTGAGCAACGAGGTTCGTTAAGAGGGCGGCAGCGCACAACTCGAGTCGCGGCAAGGACACGGGCTTCACGGGGGCGACCTTGCCCTTCGCGTTGAGCAAGTGGATCGTGGTGCCCTTTTGAGTGGAGGAGCGGAGGTACACCACGGCGGCGTATCCTCGCTCCGATGCGTCGGCGAATCCGTGGAGGTCAACGTGTGAGTGCGAACCGTCGCTGCCGAGCCAACGAGATACCCTTATCTCGTTGAGGCGTGGGAGTTGAGTGAGCAGGCTCTTCCAAGCAAGTGCGTCCGTTGATGGAAGAGGAGCATCCCAGTCTAGCTTCTGGAGCCAGGCGGACTGGATTAAGATTTTTGCTCGCATCGTGACCGGAGTGAGCCAGCCCAGCGGGTCGAACATTCGGGCGGTCTCAGACAGCACGCGTCGTTTAGTGAGTTCATCGAAGTGACGCGCCTGTTGTGAAAAGGTGAAGTGGTCACCGGCCGGATGCCAGTGAAGACCTAGTGTGGTGTGGCTTTCGTGAAACCACGAGTGAGGTGAGTGGGTGAGCCGGTGCTCGTGCGGAACGCCGTCCAGGATGCGGAGGTCGTTCGTCGCCCACTTCCGAAGCGGAAACCCGCCCGCCATGCAGAGGCCGCGGAGCTCTCGCTGGGCTAAAGTGGCTTCCGAAAGGGTGCCGGCGCCGGTCACGATGTCATCCACGTAGGTATCGCGGCGCAGCGCGGCAGCTCCCCGCGGGAAACGTGTACCCTCGTCATCGGCGAGCTGGTGCAAGGTCCGTATGGCAAGGAACGGCGCGCACGCCAAGCCATACGTGACCGTTCGTAGGCGGTATTCGCGGATGTCGTCGGCGGCACTGTGCCGCCAAAGTATCCGCTGATGATCGCGGTCGTCCTGGTGGATGAGGATTTGGCGGTACATCTTCTCGATGTCCGCCACGAAGACATAGCGGTGCCAGCGCCAACGAAGCAGCACGTCCGCGAGAGCTGGCAAGAGGTTGGCTCCCGTCAGTAGGCTGGCGTTCAGTGAGGTGCCCAAGGTTGTGAGCTGAGAGCCGTTGAACACAACCCTGAGCTTCGTAGTGGTGCTCGTCTCTCGCAACACTCCGTGATGCGGTAAGTAGCACCGTGCGGTATCTTCCCGTTGTGATGATGAAGTTACAGCTTCCATGTGTTGCAGGTCCTCGTAGTCCTTCATGAAGCTGCGGTAGAGGTTGCCGAATCGAGCGTCCTTCTCGCAGCGGCGCTCCATGGCGTGGAGCAAACGCTCGGCCGGCCGGCGGGTTTCTGGCAGAGAGGGTGCAGTTCCGGCGAAGGGAAGCCTCACCATGTAACGCCCGGCGTTAGTGCGTGAGTGCTCGCGGGCGAAGATGTCTTCGCATCTTTTCTCCTCAGGAGTGAGCGCGACGGGAGCGACAGGTTCCTTTTCCTGCTCCCAGAAGAGCTTCACGAGATCGTTCAGCTCGTGATCGACCGTACATTGATGGGCGGTGTGGCCGGCTTGTTTCGTGGCTCGATGACCGCCCGACAAGATCCATCCGAGTGAGGTCCTTTGCGCTATTGGCTCGTCCTTACGTCCTTTGCGGAGCCCATCCTGGAGGATGGCGGAGTAAGCGTCCGCGCCGAGCAATATCTCGATCTCGGTCAAGGTATTGTGGATCGGCTAGCGGGAGGCCGCGTATGTGGGGCCAAGTGATGCCGGATCGCACGACGGGCCCCTGGTACGCCGAGAGACGCGGGAGAATGTACGCCTGCACCGGGAATGCTGCTCCAGTGATTGGGGAGGATAGCGTCATTGACAGCCGTCCACGAGTTGCTCCGGTTGCTCCTCCGATCCCGGCTATCTTCATCGAAGAGCGGTCCCGCGGCAGACGCAACCGCTGGGCCAGAGCCTCCGTGACCAGAGAGACCTCGGACCCTTGGTCAATTAGCGCTCGAACGTCGTGCGGTCTCCCCAGGTGGTCTTTGATGGTGACCCGAGCGGTGGCGAGAAGGATCGCCTTGCGGTCAGACGCGAAGTGCGTGGCAGACAACGAAGCTGCTCCATCGGCTTGCGAGTACGCGTCGTGCAGCATAGTGTGGTGTCGTGCCTTACATGTGAAGCACGTTTTCGTCGATTGGCATTTCGCCAGGAAGTGGTTCCCGAGGCAGTTGAAGCAGAGCTTGTGCGCCTCCACCAGGGTTTTCCGTTCGGTCGCGGTCTTGGCTTTAAACGTCGCGCACTGCATAACGGAATGTTTCTCTTTACAGACGGCGCAAACTGAGGAGTCCGAAGCGCGCTTCACGAAGTGAGACTTCGCGGACCGGGAAGCTTCTCCGGATTTCGCGACGGTGGCTGGCTGCACGGCGTTCAGCGTCAGGATTTGCTTCGCGATGAAGTCCATAAGCACGTCGTTACTTGGCGGATCGACGGAGTCACGGATGGAGGACTCCCATTGCATCCGGGTTTGCGCATCGAATCGCTCGATAAGTAAGTAATTAAAGAGGTCCATTCCATGCGTGTCTATAGGCCTGGCAATGCTCTCCTGAGCATTAATGGCAGTGGTGGCGGCATTATAAACGCGGCTAAGCTCGTCGGCAGTCGCGGCTTTCATTTTTGCCACAGCGTTAAAGGCGGCGAAGTTGGCGCGAATGAGTTCCCGCTTGTTCTCATAATGTGAGCTGAGGATGGACCAGGCTCGCTCGTAATTGCCCCCGACAATTGGCAACGATCTTATTAGCTTTTCCGCAGGACCCTGCAAGCTCGTGCGGAGATAGTGCAGCTTTTCCACGTCGGAGATGGACGCATTGCTGCCGACGATGGACTGAAAGATGTCGCGAAACGCGGGCCAATCTCCGTATGCCCCAGAGAACGACTGGAGCTTGATCCGCGGCAACGAAGTTTTGAGCGTCTGCTCTTGGCGCTCGGTCTTGGGCGTGATCGACGCCTCGTCTTTGAGACTGTTCGCGTATTCGACAAGTATGCTTCGCTGAGACACGTAAGTTGATTCCGCGATATCGATAAAGTCTGCCTTAGCGTACTCACTCTCGAGATATTTATCTTTCAGAGTTGTCCTGATGAGGTCATGATGAGCCTCAAATTTGGTCCACAGCGTGTCGAGGATGCGGAGGCGAGCCTGGACTGCTTCGGCCGTGATGCTCGAGACGCCCATCTTGCGCAGATTGTCCACGGAGCGGGACATTCGCCCGTGGAAGTCGTTTTGCGCTTCCAACAACGCCTTCAAATCGGCACTCATCGTAACTGTTTCTTTTTGCACAGGTTCGCGCACTAAATGTCACGAGAACGTCACTCACGAACTGCGGATGCGGATGGCGAATCCGGCTCGAAGGACCAGAAAATGTTCGCGAATGACTTAGCCGTGGAGACAGGCGCGACGATAAATGACGACAATGAAGACACCACAACTTTTTGCAATAAAGACGAGCCACGACACGTATATTTTTTGTTCTTTTTATAGAGTTTTTATTTTTAACACCACACAATTAAAGAAATAAAGTTTACACAAAAAATATATTTGATTACAGACACTGAAGTGAAGCGAGAATAACGAAAAGTCCGAGTGAGTAAGCGGTCGTGTACAATAAGCGGTTTTTTAGCGAAGCGGTTGAACTGAGAAAGCGGTTGTGCGAAAAGTGCGAGACTTCGGTGTGCCCTCGCGTTGGGCCCATTATATACCGGGCGGATTTTTGGGTCTCGTTGCGACGTGGCCCAATGAACTTTAAAATTTGGCGGTGACCTCATGGCGCCGCACCTAATTGGCCGCCGATGAGGTCAGGAAATAGGCGGTTAACATTTGTCATGCGTACAACTTTTTCCGATCAGCTGATTGGCGATCAGCTGATCGTGACGTACGGGCGCGCATGCCCGTTCGTTGCGCGGATTTCGGCGACAGTTGACAATGTTATTGTCAACTGTTGTCACTGAGCGTTTTTGTGCGACCAAAAAAAGAGAGAGATGACTTGAACGGTTGGCTTTTAGTCAACAATCGATTTTTCGAGAAGTTTCTCGCCGCCCGTTATTTTCGAATTTTCGGGCTTATAATAGAAAATGCGGATTTCATTGGTACGCGAATTTTTCCGCATATGCATTTCGAACAAATTCAATATCTTTTTTCTGTTACAGGAGCAACCATCCCCCAGACCCGGCGACCCCCCCTTCCCCCCTTCCCCCAAATATATTATATTTTTTTATATTTTTATATTTTAAAATTTTATTAGAATTTTAATTTTAAATACACACACACACACAAATGTATAATACACACATTTTATTAATTTTTATTTTTTAATTGGAAAAAAAATATGATTATTTACAGAACCTCCCCTGCGCTAGTTATAAGTATCGTTCTCTCTTATGTGTTAATCTTAAGTCTCTCTCTCGCACGCGTTGCTCTCGCGCCATCACCCCCTCTCTCAAGCGTCGTCTTTCAAGCGTTGCCTTTCAAGCATTGTCTTTCAAAAGAAAGCTGCTGGTTTTTTTTTATAGTGCAGTTGTTTGTAGACTCAATTCTTTTGTTTTCACGATGCGTTTTGGAGATGGCTGCATATGGTGTCTCTGCTACGATTTCGGACCGAGATCTCGTCATATAGTTCAGAACTGTGAACGTGAGTTCATCGCTCCACGTTATATGTATACCATAAAACGCTGAAAGAGTTTTTGATAAAATGTATCAACACCTTACGTGGTTTAAATTGTGGAAGAATAGCTTTATTAAGTTATTCTTTAGTGTAATTTTAAAAATTACATTTGATTGGCGTTTGGAGGTAAGTAGCGTTTGCATGTACGTGTGATTTTTTAAATTAGATTATTAAAATAATTATTTATTATTTATTATTTAGTTTCAGAGAGAAGTTGAACTTCCAGGATTCATAAACATACAGCGTGTGTCAAAAGTTCCGGGACGGCTGGATAATTTGAAAAATACGCATCACAGAGGAAAATGACCTAGACAAAAGTTGTAGGATTTTTCCCGGGCAATCCGACGGTGACCTTAGATTTGACCTTGGATAGTCATTTGAAGGTCACATAAAGATTACCTTCAATTTCTTAAATGGAACCCCCTATTTTTCATTGCATATTCTTGTAGCTTATCTCGAGAGCTTTCCAAAACACTATAATTAAGTACCTTTTTATTAAGTACTTTTTGAGTTATAAGGCTTGAAATAATTTCTTAATTTTACATAAACCATAAAATATCTAGTAAACCATTCATTTTTCGATTATCTTACCTTCATACTTTTATGTACAAAATAATGAGAGGAATCAATTGGTGTAAAGAAAACATACAGTTGTTTTTAAGAAAAAATATGGAATTGTTAATTGCAAATTGTTAATTCCATTTAAGAAATTGAAGGTAATCTGTATGTGACCTTCAAATGACTATCAGAGGTCAAATCTGAGGTCACCGTCGGATTGCCCGGGAAAAATCCTACAACTTTTGTCTAGGTCATTTTCCTCTGTGATGCGTATTTTTCAAATTATCCAGCCATCCCGAACTTTTGACACACGCTGTATATCATAGACAGTGGGTGCGGATGATACGTCGAGCTCGACGGGAAGATATTTTAGATATATGGGGCGACACTCCGGACAGTCGCCATCGTCAGGTCGAAGATGTCTTCGATCTGCGGCGGCTTTTCGGGGAAGAGCCCTATCTGAAAATCATCCACGAAGAAGAGTGGATCCTAGGTGGAAACGTGTGGATGCCACAGGACGATTTGATGGCTCTAGCAGGTTAATGTAAGTACTATTTTTATATTAAATAAATTGTTAAATGTTTTATTAAAAACTAATAAAATGTTCGCGAATGAGTTCTTCGAAACGAGAGGCGCGACAGAAAAGGTCTTGAACTCGGACACTGCACAATTGAGAAAAAACAAGCCACGACAAGTATGATTTTTTTGTACTTTTGATAGCTTTATTTTTAACACCACACGATAAATAAAGGTTTACACAAAATATATATATTTTTCAGAACTCGAAAAATATTGCCGAAATTAATTCAAGTCCGTAATCGAGAGGAAAGTCCGAGTGAAAAAAGCGGTCGAATAATACTGCGGTTCGCGAAGCGATAAGTGCGGTTTAGCGAAAAGTGCGAGACTTCGCCGTGTCCTCGCGCGGTGCTCGTTATATACCGGGCAGATTTTTGGGCCCGTATCGACGTGGCCCAATTAACTTTGTATTTTGGCGGTGACCTCAGGGCGCCGCGCGTCATTAGCCGCTGATGAGGTCTACCGCTGACAATGAGTTAATTGTCATGCGCGCGATCTTTTTAGATCAGCTGATTGGTGATCAGCTGATCGTGACGCATGGGCGCGCATGCCCGTAAGCTATACAGTTTTCGGCGACCGTTAACACTGTTATTGTCAACGGCAGCGACAAACGTTTTTTGCGGTGGTAACAAAATAGAGATAACTCGAACGATCGGTTTTTTTTTTATAAATAGAAACGTCGAGAAGATTCTCGACGTCCGTTAATTTGAAAAATTTCGGTTTTCAGTAATAATGAGCTGAGATGATATGCATGCGAAATATGAATTTCAAACATCCCGCCCGCCTCGTCAGTACATGACGAAATGAATGAGTGCGTGTAAGTACTGACAGATGTCATGAACAGTTCGATTTGTGAGTTGTGAATCGCGCGTGATGAATGGAATGTAACAACACGTGTGATTCAGTCTATTGAAATTTTCGCTTGAGTGAGTGTTGCGTTTTGGTGAAATATTGTGACGGTGAATAATGAGAAACATACTCGTGATGTTGTGTACAATATGTAAAAGTATTGGCGGTTGATTTCCAAAACGTGGAGTGCGATGATGAGTGATCGTGAAATTGCGACGTGAAAATGAAAAAAAAGGAAAACGCGAGAAGACAATTAATAACGCGATCCGCCGATCATACGTGAGGTTATAAGTGACGCGAGTGAAGTGCGATGCGGTGAAACGAATTAGTGAGAAACCGCAGCAAAAAAAAAGGGGGAAACGAAATAAGAACGTGTGATTGTGCGGGCTCACGAATCTGGTTGTGATGAGTCTACCCTGGCGTTGTCTCCTGGCAGGACGATGATCTTCGCGAGTGGCCGAGTGAACTCCGAAGATGCGGTGCGGACGGTGACGACGCGTGTGATTCCGTCGTCTCCTGGGTGCAGTGCCGTGATGCGGGCGAGTGGCCATCTCGTCGGAGGCGTGATCTCCGATCGCAGCAGGCACAGATCGCCGATGCTAGGGCCGGCTTCGTCCTTGGTCCACTTTGGCCGTGACGCCAAAGTGCTGAGGTACTCGCGCGTCCACCGTTTCCAAAAGTGGTCGCGCATTTTTTGAAGCCGCCACCGAGATAGAGCGTTGTCCTTCTTGGACGTGAGTGACGGCTCAGGAACGGCCACGAGGGGGGCGCCGATGATGAAGTGCCCTGATGTTAGCGCCGCCAGATCGTCGGGATCGTCCGTCAGCGGCTGCAACGGACGAGAATTTAGGCACGCCTCCACCTGAGTGAGGAGGGTCGCCATTTCCTCGTAAGTGAGGGTGGCTTCGCCGATGACCCTTCGGAGGTGGTGTTTGATGGATTTGACGGCGGCCTCCCACAGTCCGCCGAAGTGTGGTGCTGCGGGGGGGTTGAACCTCCATCTCACGCCGTCGGAAGCTGCTGCGTGAATTATCCGACGGCCGTCGGAAGAGGAAGCGCGGAACAGCTCCCGCAGCTCACGGTCAGCTCCGACGAAGTTCGTGCCGCAGTCGGAGAAGACGTCGCTGCAGAGGCCTCGCCGGGAAACGAAGCGGCGGAAGGCAGCTAGGAACGCCTCAGCCGTGTAGTCCGTGACTGCCTCCAGATGGACCGCCTTGGTGATGAGGCAGACGAAAACTGCGATGAAGCCCTTGGATGCCTCGTCCTTTGCTGGCCCGAATGAAAATAGGGCCGGCGTAGTCGACCCCGGTGCGCAGGAACGGGCGTGCAGGAGTCACTCGTTCCCGGGGCAGATTGCCCATGAGTGGTTGCGGTGCGGCGGCTCTCCACCGCGTGCAGGTGACGCATCGGTGGATCGCTCGCTTGACGACTGCTCAACCACGTGGGATCCAGACTCGTTGACGAAGCAACCCGAGGGTGAGCTGCACTCCTCCGTGCAGGGTCCGCCGGTGGCAGGAGTCCACCATCAAGTGAGTCAACCTTGACTCCGGTGGGATAATGCTGGGATGCCGCTCGTCGTGAGACAGGATGGCGTTCTTCAGTCGTCCTCCGACTCGCATTACACCGCTGTCGTCGAGGAACGGACTCAGCTTGGTGAGGACTTCTGGCTGGCAAGGCGCGTCCTTTGCTGAGTGCTGTGATCTCGCCGAGGAAGTGCAGAGTCTGTGTGATGCGGATCCAGTGAAGGAGTGCGTCTTCGATCTCGCAAGACACGAGTGAGAGTGCGGTGTCAGCGGTGGTGCGAGATCTCCGGGTGCCGGTCCGTCGCCATCGAAGACACCAGGCTGTCACTCTGAGCAGTCGGTGCAATGACGAGAAACGGAGCAGGAAGGCCGACTCGGAGACGTCCTTGACAGCCGCCGAGAGGGAGGCGACGGCCCTTTGCTCCGGCACAGCAGCGTTCAGCAAGGCGCCGTCGTTGTTCAGCCACCTTGCTTGGTCCTCTAAAAGCCAGGATGGTCCCGTCCACCACAGAGGATGACCGACCAGGTCGCTAGGCAGAACTCCTCGGGAGGCGCAGTCAGCTGGGTTGTCCTTGCCCGGCACATCGTGCCTCGGGCAGCCGCTCCTGGATCAATGACACTCTGTTGGCCACGTAGGTCTTCCAGCGGGAGGCGTGTCCGTGGATCCAGTGAAGAGTGACCCTGGAGTCCGACCAAAGGAAGACTGGAGCTGAGGACAAACTTAGCAGAGTGCGCGTGTGAACGACGAGGTTCGTCAAGAGGGCGGCCGCGCATAGCTCGAGTCTCGGCAAGGACACGGGCTTCACGGGCGCGATCTTGCCCTTAGCGGTCAGCAGGTGGAGTGTGGTGCCCCTTCCAGTGGAGGAGCAGAGGTACACCACGGCGGCGTACCCTCGCTCCGATGCGTCGGCGAATTCGTATAGTTCGACGTGTGAGTGCGGACCGTCGCTGCCGAGCCAACGAGATACCTTTATCTCGTTGAGGCGCGGAAGTTGCGAGAGCAGGTTCCTCCAAGCGAGCGTGTCCGGTGATGGAAGTGGAGTGTCCCAGTCGATCTTCTGGAGCCAGGCGGACTGGATTAGGATCTTGGCCCGCATTGTGACCGGGGTGATCCAGCCGAGAGGATCGAACATTCGTGCGATTTCGGACAGGACACGCCGTTTTGTAAGTTCGTCGAAGTGACGTGTTGGTTGGGAAAATGTGAAGTGGTCGCTGGCCGGGTGCCAGTGAAGACCCAGTGTTGTGTGACTCTCGTGTGACCACGAGTGAGGTGAGTGGGTCAGCCGGTGCTCGTGCGGAATGCCGTCCAGGATGCTGAGGTGGTTGGCTGCCCATTTCCGAAGAGGAAACCCGCCCGCCATGCAGAGGCTGCGGAGCTCCCGTTGCGCTGCGGTGGCCTCCGAGAGGGTGCTCGCGCCGGTCACGACGTCGTCCACGTAAGTATCGCGGCGCAGCGCGACAGCTCCTAGCGGAAATCGGTGACCTTCGTCGTCGGCGAGCTGGTGCAAGGTCCGTATGGCGAGGAATGGCGCGCACGCCAAGCCATACGTGACCGTTCGCAAGCGGTATTCGCGGATGTCGTCAACGGCACGGTGCCGCCAAAGTATCCGCTGATGATCGCGGTCGTCTGGATGAACGAGAATTTGGCGGTACATTTTCTCGATGTCCGCCAAGAAGACGTAACGGTGCCAGCGCCAGCGCAGGAGTATGTCGGCGAGAACTGGCAAGAGGTTGGCACCAGTCAGCAGACTGGTGTTGAGTGAGGTGCCCGAGGTCGTGAGCTGTGAGCGTTGAACACGACCCTGAGCTTAGTGGTGCTCGTTTCTCGCAACACTCCGTGATGCGGTAAGTAGCACCTTGCAATATCTTCTTGTTGTGATAATGTGGTTACAGCTTCCATGTGTTGCAGGTCTTCGTAGTCCTTCATGAAGCTGCGGTAGAGGTTGCCGAATCGAGCGTCCCTGTCGCAGCGGCGCTCCATGGCATGGAGCAAACGCTCGGCCGGCCGACGGGTTCCTGACAGAGAGGGTGGAGCTCCGGAGAAGGGAAGCCTCACAATGTAACGTCCGGCGGTGGTGCGTGAGTGCTCGCGGACGAAGATGTCCTCGCATCTTCTCTCCTCCGGGGTAAGAGCGACGGGAGCGGTGATCCCTTCTCCTGCTCCCAGAAGAGCTGCACCAAGTCGGTCAGCTAGCGGTCTATCGTGCATTGGTGAGCGGCATGGCTACCCTGGGTCGTGGCTCGGTGTCCTCCCGACAGAATCCACCCGAGGGAGGTCTTCTGCGCGATGGGCTCGTCTTTGCATCCCTTGCGGAGTCCATCTTGAAGGATGACGGAATAGACATCCGCACCGAGCAGTATCTCGATTGAATCTCGGTCTAAATACTGCGGATCGACCAGAGAGAGACCGAGTATGTGGGGCCAGGTGACGCTGGCTCGCACGATGGGCCCCTGGTACGAGGAGAGATGCGGCAGGACGTACGCCTGGACTGGGAGCGTTGCTCCGGTTATTGCCGAGGAGAGCGCCAAAGACAGCCGTCCGCGGGTTGCTCCAGAGGCTCCTCCGATCCCGGCTATCGTCATCGAGGAGCGGAGCCGCGGCAGGCGCAATCGTTGTGCTAGGGCCTCTGAGACTAGAGAGACCTCTGATCCTTGGTCGATCAGGGCTCGGATGTCGTGCGGTCTTCCCACGTGGTCCTTGATAGTGACCCGTGCAGTGGCAAGAAGAATTGCCTTGCGGTCTGATGCGAAGCGTGTGGTGGACAAGGAAATCGCACCATCAGATTGCGAGTATGCGTCGTGCAGAAGCGTATGGTGGCGTGCTTTGCAAGTGAAGCACGTTTTCAACGACTGACATTTTGCCAGGTAATGGTTGCCGAGGCAGTTGAAGCACAATCTGTTTGCTTCTACTAGACCTTTTCGCTCGGCAGCGGTCTTGGCCTTGAACATCGAGCATTGCATAATCGAATGCTTTTCTTTACAGGCGGCGCACGTTGACGAACCGGATGCGCGTTTTACAAAGTGCGACTTTGCGGACCGAGAAGTGTCTCCGGATTTCGCGGCAGGGGTTGGCTGCACGGCGTTCAGCGTGAGGATCTGCTTCGCTATGAAGTCCATAAGGACGTCGTTGCTTGGCGGGTCGACGGAATCGCGGATTGAGGACTCCCACTGCATTCGAGTCTGTGGGTCAAAGCGCTCGACGAGCAGGTAATTGAAGAGGTCCATACCGTGCGTGCCGATGGGTCTTTCAATGCTCTCCTGAGCATTGATGGCAGTCGTGGCGGCGTTATAAATTCGGTTCAACTCGTCAGCGGTCGCGTTCTTCATTTTGGGCACGGCGGTGTAGGCAGCGAAGTTGGCGCGAATGAGCTCTCGCTTGTTCTCGTAGTGAGAACTTAAAATTGACCACGCCCTGTCATAATTGCCCCCGACAATCGGCAATGATCTAATTAGTTTTTCCGCAGGACCCTGTAAGCTCGTACGGAGATAGTGGAGCTTTTCCACGTCGGAAATGGATGTATTGCTCCCGATAATGGACAAGAAGATGTCGCCAATCACTGTATGCACCGGAGAACGGCTGGAGCTTAATTCGCGGCAGCGAGGTCTTGAGTGTCTGCTTTTGATGAGCCTCGACCTTGGGCGTAGTGGAAGACTCGCCCTTGAGTTTGTTCGCGTATTCGACCAGCATGCTCCTTTGTGTCACATAGGTAGTTTCCGCGATGTCGATAAAATCATTCTTTGCGTACTCACTCTCAAGATATTTGTCTTTCAGCGCCGTTACAATGAGGTCATGATGGGTCTCGAATCTGATCCACAGCGTGTCGAGAATGCGGAGGCGAGCCTGAATCGCTTCGGCGGTGATGCTCGAGACGCCCATCTTGCGCAGATTGTCCACGGAGCGAGACATTCGTCCGTGGATGTCGTTCTGCGCCTCCAACAGTGCCTTTAGATCTGCACTCATGATCACTTTTCAGTTTCAGATTCACGCACTATGTCACAAAGTTCACCCACGAACTGCGGATGTGGATAAAAAATCCGGCTCGAAGGACCAGAAAATGTTCGCGAATGAGTTCTTCGAAACGAGAGGCGCGACAGAAAAGGTCTTGAACTCGGACACTGCACAATTGAGAAAAAACAAGCCACGACACGTATGATTTTTTTGTACTTTTGATAGCTTTATTTTTAACATCACACGATAAATAAAGGTTTACACAAAATATATATATTTTTCAGAACTCGAAAAATATTGCCGAAATTAATTCAAGTCCGTAATCGAGAGGAAAGTCCGAGTGAAAAAAGCGGTCGAATAATACTGCGGTTCGCGAAGCGATAAGTGCGGTTTAGCGAAAAGTGCGGTTTAGCGAAAAGTGCGAGACTTCGCCGTGTCCTCGCGCGGTGCTCGTTATATACCGGGCAGATTTTTGGGCCCGTATCGACGTGGCCCAATTAACTTTGTATTTTGGCGGTGACCTCAGGGCGCCGCGCGTCATTGGCCGCTGATGAGGTCTACCGCTGACAATGAGTTAATTGTCATGCGCGCGATCTTTTTAGATCAGCTGATTGGTGATCAGCTGATCGTGACGCATGGGCGCGCATGCCCGTAAACTATACAGTTTTCGGCGACCATTGACACTGTTATTGTCAACGGCAGCGACAAACGTTTTTTGCGGTGGTAACAAAATAGAGATAACTCGAACGATCGGTTTTTTTTCTATAAATAGAAACGTCGAGAAGATTCTCGACGTCCGTTAATTTGAAAAATTTCGGTTTTCAGTAATAATGAGCTGAGATGATATGCATGCGAAATATGAATTTCAAACAAAAATGTATATCTTTTTTTTTGTTGCAGGTGCGGCCTCTCTCAGCTCGGCGCATTCCCTTCCCCATACATTTTGTATTATTTCTTATTTCATATTTTTTATATTTTTTATATTTTTTATTTTCTTTTTATCATTACTTTTTATTCTTAAATTTAAGTATACACACACACACACACACACACACACACACACACACACATAAAAATGTATAAACACACACATACACATTTTTAATAAATTTTATACATTCATTTAAAAAAAAATATTTATTTACATTATCTCCCTCGCACGCGTTCCCTCTCTCTCGCGCCATCGTTCCCTCTCTCTCGCACGCGTTCTTCTCGCGCCATCGCTCCCTCTTCCTCGCACGCGTTCTTCTCGACCTTTCGAATCTCTATTCAGCCTACTGTCCTATCCCAAATCACCCTGTCCTCTTGACCTAGTTTTTTTTTGTGTTACTTTTGTTAGTCCTTCGTCCGGTTGATGGAAAAAAGGATTTGTGTTTCCTTTCCTTTTTTTTTCTTTTTTCTTTCTTTTCTTTTTTTGTTTTATGTCTCCCTCTCGCACGCGTTCTCCTCGCGCCATTGCTCCCTCTCCCTCGCACGCGTTCTTCTAGCACGCGATGCATTTCAAAGAAATGCAGATGTTTATATTATTTATCAACCGAGCATGCGATACAATATTTCATATACTTTCGATAAATATATGGGACCGCGCGTACTTTTTACGAGGCGTTTACGACGATATGGCGATAATGTCACATCTACAGGGTGACCCATTTTAACTTAGGCAGCCAAATAACTCGAAAAATAAGCACACTACGAAAAAATGGTTAGAATCAAAATTTCGTCATTTCGAGGGGGACGTACAATGACGTTAAAATCAGCCCCCCACCCCTCCACCTGGGCGGTGAGGGTGGGCAAGTTTGAAATCTTAAATGGAACCCCCTATTTTTCATTGCATATTCTTGTAGCTTATCTCGAGAGCTTTCCAAAACACTATAATTAAGTACCTTTTTATTAAGCACTTTTTGAGTTACAAGGCTTGAAATAATTTCTTAATTTTACATAAACCATAAAATATCTAGTAAACCATTCATTTTTCGATTATCTTACCTTCATACTTTTATGTACAAAATAATGAGAGAAATCAATTGGTGTAAAGAAAACATACAGTTGTTTTTAAGAAAAAATATGGAATTGTTAATTGCAAATTACATATTTTTTCTTAGAAACAACTATGTGTTTTCTTTACACCAATTGATTCCTCTCATTATTTTGTACATAAAAGTATGAAGGTAAGATAATCGAAAAATGAATGGTTTACTAGATATTTTATGGTTTATGTAAAATTAAGAAATTATTTTAGGCCTTATAACTCAAAAAGTACTTAATAAAAAGGTACTTAATTATAGTGTTTTGGAAAGCTCTCGAGATAAGCTACAAGAATATGCAATGAAAAATAGGGGGTTCCATTTAAGATTTCAAACTTGCCCACCCTCACCGCCCAGGTGGAGGGGTGGGGGGCTGATTTTAACGTCATTGTACGTCCCCCTCGAAATGACGAAATTTTGATTCTAACCATTTTTTCGTAGTGTGCTTATTTTTCGAGTTATTTGGCTGCCTAAGTTAAAATGGGTCACCCTGTATATTATACGATCATAATTTCAATTCAAAAAATGCTGATGTTTATATTATTTATAAACCGAACATGTCCGTACGCAATACTGTTTATCAGCCGGGCATGTAATATAATATTACCATAAAACATCTAACACGCGCCGCCGCCGAAATCCCCTCCGTCCCGCGTGACATCATTCCCCCGCGCCTCCGTAATCCCCCGCGCGCCTTACCCCCCCTGAGAGGACCTGAGTTAGAACTCTCCCTATACTCCTACTACCCTCCGAACATTTATCTGTCTTATCTCAATCATCTAACATGGACTTATGGGACATGATTTTGCATGGAATGATGTTAAAATTTTGGATCAAGATGCCTCGTTTCTCAAAAGAACTACCTCTGAAATGATCCATATTATACGACAGAATAACGGTCTTAACATTCAGAATGATACGGAGAAATTTGATAAAGTTTGTCTTCCTATTGTAAAATCTTTACATTTTTAATTCCATTTTAACCTCTATTTTATTTTTCTCCATTAATTTCCTTTTTATTTTTCTCCATCATCCGTCCCTGAATTCCCTTTCCCCCCTCCCTCCCTTTCCCTTTCCATCGAATCGGCATGCCTGGCCTTCCATTATCACGCGTCTCAGTACATTTCGTCGTCCTGTTGGATATACATGTCTTTTGCATCTTTTCAGTATTTCTGTTCTGCTCTTTTCTCACTGCGATTATCTCATTATTGCATAACTGCTTGTATGTAACTTTACTCTAAAAATTAATCTGTTACATTAATTATTCTCTATCAAGTTTTCTGTTTTTTCTTTGCATTTATTTTTCATTGCTGTTGTTGTGTTTTGCGAGAATGCGTGTTGCTCTGCTTGCTTTATTTTTCAGATCACAATTATATTGGCTTTGGAATGAATTTTTAATGCATAATAAGGAATCTTTTCAACGATATACAGAGTGTGGAACGTATGCGGTATTTCTGTCCTCTACTCGTATACCATCTTTTTTCTCATCACTCTTTTTCTACACAGCCATGATCTATGTGTTTTGCATTGGTGAGTAGCATGCAGGCTTGCGGACATTTACACAGCTATTTCTCGCTATCTGAGAACGTAATTCTTTTATTTCTTAATTATAAATTTCGAAAGCTAATATGTGTATATTCATCTCATATGTATGTATTATCGATATCGACCACGAATATTTATTTTTGCATTTCACCTTGTATTACAGTTTGAATCTGTACGTTATCTGTTGCGAGCGACTATTATTACTCATTATTATTTGGTCCTTCATTATCATTTTAATTTATTTGTACTTCTGATATTAATACTGTTGACGCATTGAAAAGGATCTGGATGAGATCGAAACGTTTGCGAATTTAATTTCTTGTATTTTAACTTTTTTCATGATAATTACTTATAATTTTTATTTTTATATTTATTTTTTGAATATCTTTCTTATGCTGCCGTTTCTACCATTCAAATTTGGACGCATTATTGTTTTTTGATTAATGTGATTTATTATTGTACTGCTATTATTTTTTATATTGTTTTTTATTTTTGACATCTATACTGTGTGGTTTTTTTCTGCCTAATTTGTACACTCAATTATTAGAAAAACGGAGGTTGAAACGAAGTTTTTCTATAATTTTTTGCGATTTTGAATATAATACAATGTCTTTTTCCCGTTTTACAATGTTGATTATAATCGTTTCTTACATCTAGCTTATTATCATACCTTTTTTGTTTTGTTTTTTTTTAGCCGTGTGCTTTTATTTCTTTTTAATATTGATTTAGGCATTCCATATGATTTGTCAATTTCATCTACTAATGAAGCTGGTCGTTTAGATTTCCTTTTCCTATGTTGGATAATTATC